ATATTAAGTGACTTGCCTAGGATCCATCTCATAGTCAGTATGTGTCAGAGGCAAGATTTAAACCCAGATCTTCCTGGCTCTGAAGTCAGTTCTCTATCCATGATACCACATGCCTCAGAGGCCTTGAGGATGTAGAAATTTTCAAAAATGAGAATATCTCTGCCTTCAGGGAACTTATATTCTATGAGGGGGAAATGCATTCATACATGAGTGTGTGTGTATGAATATATATGTGTATATATTTACATATGGATATATACACATACATATATGTGTGTATACACACACACACACACACATGCACACACAAGATAATTTTGCAGGGGAGGCAGTAGCAGCTGGGGAGATCAATAGAGGCTTCATATAGAAGCTGGTATTTGAACTGTCTTGAAGGAAATGAGGAATTTTATGAGACAGTGGAAGAGGAGCAGTTCCCAGCCCAGGGAATAGACAGTCCATCAAACTACTACCATCACCAATGAAGCCAGCCTTGTCACAAAGGAAAACAGGTAAGATGTGCAATAAATAGAGAATGATGTGGCTATTCAGAGGAGGCAGGAATTGCTTACTTACTCGTTAGGAGACTTTGATCAATTCTATTCTGTAAAATGGGAGTGATAGTACTTGAACTATGTCCACTTCACAGAGGTGTTGTGAGAAAGGCTTTTTGTAAATCCCTATGAAAATGTGATATATTATAGAGAAGGTGGGATCTGAGCTAAGCCTTGAAGGATGAGGAGGGCTTCAAGACTCAGAAAGAAGACAGTATTGTTCCAGGCAGGGAGAATAATACATGCCCAGTTCTGAGTATCAGCATGGCGCTTTTTCTTTAATTTATTTTTTTATTGCACAAACATCTTGGTTACATTTATTTTTAACATTCTTTATTTTTCAATTGGAGCTCCAAATTCTCTCCCTCTGCCTGGTTCCTCTCCAATCCAATTGGGAAGGCACATAATATAACACCCATTATATATGTTGAAGTCACAGCATGATGTTTTCATGAGAATGTAAGAAAAAAATTTAAAAGTTCTTCTTATTCCTTTCACCTGCCTGCCTTTGCCTTCTTTTCCTGTTGCCAGTTCTATAACTAGATCTATATGTTTCTTCTAATAATATGTATGTGTGTATATATATATACACACATATTCATATCTATCTATCTACATCTATCTCCATCTATCTGTCTATCTATCTGTCTATCTATCTCTCTATATGAGGGCCATCTTAGTTGTCCTGGCTTACCACTGGGCCCAAATGGCTCTGGAGGAGAAAGTGAGACTAGAGACTTTGCACAGCCCTTCACTTAAATGCAATTCACTTGCATGTCATGGCATCACTTCCCTGATGTCATGGTCCCATGGTCCTCTTTGAGAATGAAGGACAAATAACAACATCATATACATACATACACACATATGTATGTATATATACACATACATACACATAATAGACATACATATATACATGTGTATGTACACACATACATATATATTCCTCTAAAAATATATATACATATATATTGGTATATGTGTATAAATCTTTCTTGTTAGAGGAAACATGGCATAGTGGATAGATAGACAGCTTTGCCAACACAAAAATGAAAATGAAAATCTTTTCTCTAACACATACTAGCTATGTAGCTGTACCAGTTCACTTAACCTCTCAGTGATCCTAGGAAATTTAAAATCTCTGAGAGTCTAAGTTATAGATGAGTTTCCATTCTGTACCAGTGGAGGAAGTTTCCACAGCAGGAATTCCTTACATCCCTATGCCAATGAAAATGAAATCATGGGTAGATATCTTTCTCTCCCTCTCCTCTCCCTTTCTCTTCAAAGAAAGATATGTGTATGTGCATATGTACATAAAGCACCTACTATGTTCCAGGCACTGTGCTA